ACTTAATTTTTGCGGATAATGCTCTCGAAGGCAGTACGCTTGTGATTGCGTTAAGCAAAGCATTAGAAGGCAGTGCATCGCAATGGCTGTCCCAAATATGCTTCGCTGGCATCACATGGCCGCAGTTTAAGGAACTCTTCATCCAACGTTTCGTGGGCATTGAGACAACTTCTGCCATACTAATGAACATTCTGAACAGACGTCCCAAAACTGGAGAGAATTTCGCTGAGTACGGCAGTCGCATTGTCACCCTATTGCTCTCAAAGTGGAAGGCAAAGAATTTGGAGGAGATTGCGGTATCAGTAGCGTTAGCTCACATGGCTCAAATTGACAATAATTTGTTGCGTTGGCTGTTTACAACGAATGTGACGACTCGTAATGAGCTGCAGCAGCAGCTACAGGCTTACGCTTTCAAGAAGCGTATCAACGAGGAGGATGGATATTCGACGGGTCCGGATAAGAAGAAAACAAGAATGCAGTTGCAGGTGAAGTGCCATTTTTGTGGAAAGGCTGGCCACAAATATGCAGAATGCCGCTCTCGAATGGAGAAAGCATCAACCCCAACAGAAAGGAGTTATAGCGTGAGCAGCACGGCCGGAGTGAAGGATCGATCAAAGATTAAATGTTTTAAGTGCGCTGAAAACGGACATGTGGCTTCTGTATGCCCCAAAAATCGTACTGGTGGAAACAGCAAGAGCTACGAGAGGCGAGTTGACGTTTGTACCGTAGCTCCACCAAGTGGAAAAATTACCTAATCCGGTGAGTCTATTCCATATTGTTTTGATTCTGGAGCCGAATGTTCACTGGTCAAGGAGAGTGTTGCGGATAAATTCACCGGAAAACGATTTAACAATATTGTAACTTTAAATGGCATAAGTAACGATTCAATTTGTAGCACATTGCAAGTTCTGTGTAATATTAATATTGAACAATATTGTTTAGAAGTTTTATTACATGTAGTTATGGACAAATATTTGAAGCATGACGTGTTGATTGGCCGTGAAGTTTTAGGCCTGGGCTTTGGTGTATCAATTGATGCAGATAAATTTTGCTTTTATAAGACAAAAAGAGTAAATGTTCTGAGCCTAGTGAAGTATGAAAAAATCATAAATTCTGATACCAATTTAAACGATTCCGATAAGACGATATTAAACAATATGTTGAGATGTCACTCTGATAGGTTTATTGACGGAATTCCAATGACTCGTGTGACGACAGGTCAATTAGAAATTAGGCTAATAGATCCACAAAAGACTGTGCAACGCCGACCTTATAGGCTTAGCGCAGATGAGAGGAAGCACGTTCGGTGCAAAATTGATGAATTGCTTACATCAAAAATTATTCGTCCCAGCTGCTCACCATTTGCTAGTCCCATGATGCTGGTTAAGAAGAAAAATGGCACAGATCGTTTTTGTGTAGATTACCACGTTTTAAACGACAATACAATTGCCGATAAATATCCTTTGCCTCTTATTTCGGATCAAATAGCTCGTCTTCGTGGTGCAAGGTACTTTTCGTGTATAGATATGGCAAGTGGATTTTACCAAATCCCTGTACAACCAGATTCAATTGAGCGAACGGCCTTCGTTACACCCGATGGACAGTACGAATTCTTAACCATGCCCTTTGGTCTGAAGAACGCACCTTCTGTGTTTCAGCGTGCAATAATAAAAGCCCTGGGTCCGTTGGCTTTTAGCTGGTTTAGCTTCTTACTTTCGACAATTCATTCCAAAATTTTCCGAAATATTAAAACCATTGTTTACGCTTACTTCAAAAATAATGCTAATTTTGTCTGGTTGCCAGAACATGAACAAATACGTTTGAAAATAATAGGTGTATTGACACAGGCCCCAGTATTAACTATATTTGATCCACAATATCCAATAGAATTGCACACAGATGCCAGCTCCATCGGTTACGGGGCGATATTGTTACATAAAATCGAAAATAAATCCTATGTAGTGGAGTATTATAGCAAATGTACTTCTCCGGCAGAAGCAAAATACCACTCGTACGAACTCGAGACTTAAGCAGTTGTCAATGCTATGAAGTATTTTAGGCATTATTTACAAGGTCGTAAATTTGTCGTTTACACTGATTGTAACTCTTTAAAGGCCAGTCGCACCAAAATGGAATTAACACCAAGAGTGCATAGATGGTGGGGGTTTTTACAGTCATTTGATTTCGATCTTGAATATAGAAAAGGGGAGCGAATGGCGCATGTCGATTTCCTTTCCCGAAATCCACTGTCAGAAGGAAATAAGTGTGTGGATAAAATAATTGAGAAGCGTATTAATCTTACTGAAGTGACCGACAATTGGTTGGTGTCCGAACAGCAGCGCGATCCTGAAATAATCAATATTTCATCCAAATTACGCAATAACGAGTTACCGGAAAATTTAAATAAAACATTTGAATTAAGAAAGAGTATATTGCATAGGAAAATACAGAGGAATGGTAAAACAAGGTGCTTGCCGGTAATTCCAAGGGCGTTTAGGTGGGCAGTGATCAACCACGTACACGAATCTGTTATGCATTTGGGATGGGAAAAAACATTAGATAAGGTATATGGATATTACTGGTTCGAGAATATGACCAAGTATGTACGTAGATTTGTGGAAAATTGTATCACGTGCAAACTAGCAAAAACCCACAAATGGAAAGGTCCAGGCATATTTGCATCCAATTCCTAAGATAGAGATACCATGGCACACAGTTCACATCGACATTACGGGTAAAATGAGTGGCAAAAACGACTTAAAAAAATACGTCATTGTTTTAATAGATGCATTCACCAAGTTCGTTTATTTTTACCACACACTGAATATAGACACCGAAAGCTGTATTAAAGCTGCGAAATCGGTTGTGGCGCTATTTGGATTGCCAACTAGAATAATAGCGGATCAAGGTCGTTGTTTTGCTAGCTCAGGCTTCCGCAATTTCTGTTCCGCTCAAAAGATTCAGCTGCATTTGATCGCTACGGGAGCTAGTAGGGCAAATGGACAGGTTGAACGCGTGATGAAGACACTCAAGACAATGCTGACAGCAGTTAAAACGAGTCAGAGATCATGGCAGGAGGCATTGGCTGAAGTACAACTGGCCATGAATTGTACTGCAAATCGAGTCACCAAGTTTAGCGCTTTAGAGCTATTAATAGGAAAAGAAGCTAGGCCTTTTGGTTTATTGTCAATAAACGAAGAAGACAATGATGTAGATAGAGAACAAATTAGAATTCAAGCCAAGGAAAACATGGAAAATAATGCAAGATATGACAAACAAAGATTTGACAAAAATAAAGCAAAGATTATGAAGCATAACGTAGGTGATCATGTTTTGCTGAAAAACGAAGAACGGCATCAAACAAAGCTTGACCCCAAATTTAAAGGTCCATTTGAGGTGATCAAAGTTTTAGACGGCGATCGATATGAACTAAAATCATTAATTAATAAGCGAACGTATAAATATTCACATGAATGGCTAAGAGCGCTACCAAGCAGACAAATAATTAACGAATTAAACGAAGAATTCGATGGCCTCAGTGATGGTGATTCCCAGGAGGGGAACGAACTAAAAGACGACGTTAGTAAGCGTGCGCCTGTGTCCCAAGAGGGGAATTGAGGACCGCACAGCTGTCTCACAGGGATGAGAAGTGTTATGGCGGGGGTCAAGGTGATTGGGTGTAAGTGTGCACACCAAATTAAATTGAGAAACTAAGAGACAAATCTAAGTATGTAAAATCTGAATTATTGGAAAATTCTGATTAGAATTAAATGATATGAATAAGATCATGAAGCTGAAAAAGTATTATGTTTGTAAACGAAAGGAAATTGTGTTTCCTAGATAAGAAAAATTGTCAGTTAATGCTTGTGTAAGCGGCTCTGTAAGTTTGTAAATTGTTAGAGAAAGTTATGTTATTAAAACTAAGAGATACCATAATTAAAAGAGTCTGATATGTGACTTGGACATGGGTGGTGGATGTAGCACACAAGGACGTGTGATAGGTCAGGAAGGCCGTGTCGCAGTGTGATTCCTAGTAAATGTAGCATTCTGGTAAATTGGGAATTCGGGGAATTCCCTGCTTCTGCTTTACTAGCTGATATTGAGCGAAAGCACGGCAGCAGAGGCAGAGACGCTCTGCTGCTGAGTGAGGTTCGATGGTAAGATACCAAGAGTCTTGAGTAAGACAGAGATGGCTGCATACGCTCGACTTGAGTGAGTTTATGACGTGAGCGCGTATGCTGAAATGGTCAGTGAGTGGAACTTGGGTATTCGAACCGATCGGAACTCGCTGTGCAGCTGCGTCAATTATCAAAAGTGTTAACATGGATAACATACCCTTGCCGCCGACCGACATACCCTTGCCGCCGACATATTCATAATCAATTGTTTTAATTTGTTTGGACGTATAATTTAACAAACAAAAATGTTGTTTGGTACAATGTAAAAAGTTGGATGACTTCATCATTATTTCTTAACTTTCATTAAAACTAAGAAAGGAAAAGGATTAAAATTGGCATTTAGGAGTTATATTTTTGAAAACTATTATACAATAAAGAGCAAAACTTCTTATTCCGTTTTATTATATAAATTAGTTTTCTGTGTTGATATTGAAAATTTGTGTCCCTAATTAAGTACTTTAGAACACCTTAAAAATATTTTACAGTAAAAACTATAAGTTTACGCCCAAATATTGCCTGTTTTAAGCGGAACCAGCGCATTGTTTTTTTTGACAAGGGCGTTCGCTTTTTTTTCTCCAATGGGATCTTCGATTTCTCTGAACAATAATAACAAATTAAACATAAATAAAAAGGAGCTAAATATTAGAAGTCAAAACAATAAGTAATTAAATAAGTGAAAAAAGAACAGTTTCGTAAAAAAATGTTAGTTGACTAAGTCAAGGGAAAACTACTACTAATAAAAAACACTCTAAATAAATCAAAGCAATATATTTAATTTAAATTTATTAATATATAAATTTAGGCTTCTTGTTTCTCACTTACGTCCAAAGCAATCTCCAAAGCCATCACCGTCCAATCGATCCTCAGAAATATCACCTCGGTTTTCGGTTGCGTGCCCTTCCAATGACTCTATATTTGTTACAACGTCGCTATCAAATAGTTGCTCCTTAAAGAAGTAAAATAACAAAAAAATATTAACCATAAAATAATTACCTAAAAACAAAGGAATGGATAGAAATTGGAAAAGATTCTCTTGTCAAGTAATCTAGGTTAGTGCTTGGGAGGCCCTAACCTACATTCCCATCAATTGGCCGACGTCCAATTAAAGGCGACTAGTGTTCGGAGAAAGATTGAGCTGAGGGTTACATTTAGTAGCAGTTGAACTTCTATACTAAGGACCAGGTATTCGACTTGCTGCTAGAGCTAGTTGGCTTAAAACATTATTCAAATTCATTATTCTATCCGAGCAGCTGCACCCCAGTCGACGACTGGACGAGCTGGCCACAGACGTGGAGCTCTCTTAAGTCCTCTCAGAGCAACCCCAACTATCAGGAGCATCAGAACCGAACCATACAGGGACGAAAGCTGACAGACAGTAAGCGACTATGTTGCAACTGTGATGACCAACCAAATGGGGGACTACTATGCTTTCGCGAAGCATTGCTTTGTCGTCTTTTGTTAGCCTTGTATCCTCCCCTAATCCACTTTTAAATTACCGCTTCCGATCCTGACGACCTGATAAAGAGACTTGAGGGAAAGGCCCTAAAGATGCAGTTATGCGAACGACATAGGCATAAATATTACGAAAATTTGCCTATCGACGCTCAAATCAAACAACCGTAAGGGAAATATTTGAGTGGACGGACAAGGTATGACTTAGAATTTAACCTATTCTCTACACCAACGGATAAAAGGTGCAGCTTTGGATCACCAAGAGAACGCCAGGTAAACTACCAAGAACACCTTGATCCTCAAGGACTTTTGATTTAAGGTCTCTAAACCAGGCATGGTTCCTAGAGCTTGTGCGACTCATTCCGTTATGTTTTGCAATAGCACACAGCCTGTTGGCAGAGGTCTTTGAGCACAAAAACAATGCAATAGCAGGTAGCCTGAGGGCAGAGGCCTCAGCGCACATCTACACAAAAAGAAAATACATATATATATTTTTCTTAAAACCTGCAAGTCGTTCCGGCAGCTGCCTACTTGCTAGAGAACACAAAAACAAAATCAAGCCTTTTTTAATTGCGTTATTTTTTTCTCTAACCCATCCCAGAATATGTGATGAAGTCATATAATAACATAAACATATAACTTTAATGGTGAAATATTCACTTATTCGCTACACTAATATCACTGTTCTTTTGAAATTAACTAATTTTCCGTACTATTCACTTGCCAATTTGTAGGTCGAACTTTGACTTCCCACCCGAGTTCTTTGGTTAAAATTTTGTACGTACTACCATACAATTAAAAATAATGGAATGCATTAAAAAAACGAAAATCCTTCTTAACAAAACTGCATTAATGTTTGATATATCTCTTACAGTTCGTCAACTATACGAGTTTTGATTTCCAGTTTACTTGTTTAAGTTTAAGCTGTGAGCCACTTTATTACCCACTCTTCCTAGTAACTACAAAAACTGTCGAATTCACATAGAATGAGATGCGTAATTTGCATGTATGTAAATTGATTGGCTTCAACCCCAGGAGATCTTTGCGGCAGGATCGCCCGCCTACACAACTTGAAAGAAAAACATTTTGCGCCCACACGAAGCGGCCAACATTTATCATTATCTAAATGTAAACTTATTTGGGATGGACTGCTCCCATATTGCGGGCATCAGCTTTAGAAGTTTCGTGGACCACAAATAAATAAAGAGACAAACCCAATTCTTAGTAGATAACAAGAAAGGAAGCTAACTTCGACACGCCGAAGTTTATATACCCTTGCAGATAGAACTTCTATGAATAAAAAACCATACAATACAAATTATATATCTGTGTGTTAAAAAACAATGAAGTAATACCTGCTTTCATTTCATTCACCTATACATATTATATTTGCAGTTTTACATTCACTGATTTGCATTTTTCCTCCACATCAAACGATCGCTTGTATGGCACCTATATGATATAGTCGTCCGATTTTCATGAAATTTACCACAAAATTTAAGACTTAAATTAAATGCCTATACCTAAAATTTGATGAAAATCAGTTGAAAACTGAAAAGGTTATAAATTTAATTGTATTAATTTCTCGATCGTTCCTATGGGAGCTATATGATATAGTAGTCCGATTTTCATAAAATTTTATGCAAAATTGTAGAGTATAGTAAAATGGCTATATCTCAAATTTGATCCAATTCTATTGAAAACTGAAATAGTTAAAAATTTTTTGTAAAAATTTTCCGATCATTCCTATGGCAGCTATATGATATAGTCGTCCGATCCGGCCCGTTCCGACATATATACGAGTGAGAGTATATAGAAGGCTAACTACAAAGTTTCATTCAGATAGCTTCAAAACTGAGAGACTAGTTTGCGTAGAAACGGACAGACGGACAGAAGGATAGACGGACAGACGGACAGACGGACATGGCTAGATCGACTCGGCTGTTGATCCTGATCAAGAATATATATACTTTATATAGTCGGAGGTGCCTCCTTCACTGCGTTGCAAACTTCTGACTGAAATTTTAATACCCTGCAAGGGTATAAAAACGGAAAAGAGACTACTGATGCAGTGGTTTGCAACACATGTACAAATGTTTACAAATTCGACAAAAGCACATCGAATTTGGTAAAACACAAGTGCTACGTAATGTCGAATAGCCGAAAGCGCGGTCTTCATGCCGTTAATGTTGACTTCGAAACCAAACAGAAAAGCATCAAACTAGCAACGGAATGGACAATCATGTCGGTACTGCCGCATCCCACAAGTATATCGTGAAACATCGGTGCTTTTTACGACTTTAATGAGTTCAAGAGCACAAACTATTTCTTTGTGGTTTAACTTCGTATATCTGCATGGATAGCTTCTTTAAAGAATCATAAATTTCACTGACTATGCATTACGTTAAAGAAAGCACACTTAAAAACCGCCTGCTAGCAGTGAAATCAATGTGAGGAGTCTCCTGTACTGGTAAGAATTATAAAATGCTATGGGTTACATTGAAATCCATCCTATATAACAACATTACTTAGGCAAGGAAGTTAAAAACAAATTGGTCGAATTTTACGGGACTTTGGCTGATATTTGGTGATGAAATCGTCCATCGTTGTAACTGATCGAGGAGCAAAAATCAAAGCAGCATTCAACGGACTGACTTGGACTTGGTCCACAATGTGATTGAAAACTGGTTAATGAGTCCTCGTTGGAATACAATATTTAAACTATTTTAGTCTGTTGAAATGACCTGGATGGAAATTTCCCAAATTTTGATGGAAAAAAGGAAATAAGCAGAATTCACGATATTAGTTTAAGTAATATTAGCGGACTGAAAATCTTAGTAGCTCCTCTTGAAGTTAGTTCAAATAAGCTTAAGGGTAGCAATAATCCAACTTTACATTTAAGTATTCCACAAACAAATTATTTGAAGTAGCCATTCCCAAAGACGATGACATCAAATTTGTTCAAGATACAAACATTCACTTTTAAAGTATTTACATTTAATAATCAAGACAATTTAAAGACGTTAGACTAAAAATGATGATACAGAAAAAACTTTGAAAACTAAACAATTGAAATATGGCTTATAATGATATTGATGTCCTGCAGTCGTGTTCGATAATTCTTTTCTTGAATTTAACACACCAGTCAAAAAGTTTCTCTCACTGTACAGTAAGTACACTACACATTAAAAGCTGTACAACTATGCAGTGAGTAAAAACAGTCTGTCAATACAAGCAATATTACCCTATTTACTCAAACTCAATAATACTGTACAGAAAAAAAAGTGTGCGATACCGAAATAGGAGATTCATTGCCGTTTTGGGTGCATACATGTAGAATTCTAGTATAGTTGATTTTGTATAATTAATTTTAATTAACATAATTTAATATATGTATAATTCAATTTTAATATGGTTTACATACAATATTTATAGTTTTATTTTGCATTAATTTAAGTATTTTAGTATTACGGATTTAAATATTTAAACCATGACCAAACATAAATTTTACACGATGTTCTTTTTTGACACCTCGATAGTGATTTTGAATAATTTACTTTTAATTTTCACTAAGTTTGAAACGAAATATGTTTCGGAATGATGGAACAAAGGCAACACAATTAATAGTAATAGAGGGCACGGAAAACGCCAAAATACATTTGCAAACATTTAATATGAATCTGTGTTTGAATTCGTTTTGCTTTCTGGTTAACGGGGATTGATGTCTGAACTGGACTTTGACTGCTCTAAAGAGAGATTAGAGCTGAACACGTGAATATGTTTTAGATTGCCTTCTGATATGTTTATGTGTGTGTTCTCCTGGTTTAGGTTTGTCCTTCAAATAAAAACTTAAAACAAATAAATAATGCAATAATTTTTAAAATACAGCTTGGAATGCTTTTGTTGAAAGAAGATAAAATTCATATCTCAAATATGATTTTCTTTCAGACTTTCAAAGTAAAAACCTTTTGAAATAAATACTTAAACATATCTTAGGCATAAGACCAAATAAAAAAGGATATAATTTTAGCGAATGAGAAATTATAAGAAGGTCAAGGGAAAGAAACCAAATATGTTTAACGAAATATGAAATCATTTCTTGTGGTACAACGTTTAAAAAAATATAGAACTGTTAAATCCTCAACTAGTTGTATATCTGATTTCTATATTTACCATGGTATAATGCTTGATTATGTTCAATTTCAATTTGTGACTACCTTGAGCGCAAAATCAATTCTCAAACAACGTTTAACATTAATTTGTATGATTTACATTGAAGCAAAGCATATAAAGTTAATACTTTCTGAGTTGTACATATTGTCATTTATTTTTTTATTTTGATAAGTCTATTTTTTTAGTTAAATTAAAAATTTCTTTATTTAAAGGCACCATTTGTATGGTTTTTTCATTAACGTACTAAAAACTATTTAGATTTAAACAAAAACAAAACAAATTTCGTGAAACAAAAGTCTTGGCACACCTAATCTCATTTTT